CTGCCTCCAGGGCTCAAGCGAACTCTGGCCCCCCCGTGCACGTGTTCCCCGGAACGCCTCTCCCTTCTAGACCCTCACGGAGCTCACATCTCACCTCTGCGCCAGGACAGTGGTGGCTTCTGGTTCAAACTGGCAGCGAAACTCACAGGACCCAGTGGGCTTTACCAAACACCAGACCTGACTTAACCTTTAGGAGAATCCGGGCAAGGAAACGCAGCCCACACAGCAGCCGCTCGAATACGGACTCTCTTCGGCCCCTCCCCCACGTGGAGCACATTGAGACCCTGGTGAGCGTGGCCAGCCGGGCACACGGGGCCGGCACCCTGCTCTCCTTTTTATCATCTCAGCTCACGGCAGCCCCGCAGACCACAGGCCCCGCAGGAAGCAGGGCAGATGGGACACTGCACGGTTGTCTTCACCATCCTTCCCCAGGGGCCGGTGTGGAGAGCAGACTAAGGGAGGCCCGGTACCCCGCACACCCTCCTCAGAGAGGCCTTCCTACCACCCCGCAGCACTCGGCTCAGCCTGCAGCCCGTTCCCCACACCACGCGGGTGACCTCCCTGCCGGATCCGAGCTCCCCCGCAAGGGTCCCACCACTCAGCCCCGCAGCTGGCACCTGGCACCCTTCGAGGGAGGGCACGCACCGGCCAGTGCCCTCCGCCAAAGGCCTGACTCCTGCTGAAATACCTCATCGTCCTCAGACAAGGCACTTGAAGTGACTGGCTCAGAGTCAAGGGACGAGCCGAAGACCAGAGACGGGGAGGCAGTAAGGGACCTGGGCGCCTGGCCTGGGGCCAAGGGGACAGATGGGCCCAAAGCACGTGAAAGAGGCGTAAGTTTGCAAAAGTAGACCAAGGGAACCCCGATGTCTTCATCCACTTCCCTAGGTTGTGAGGGCCAGCCTGCTAGGACCCGGAGGACAGATACCCACACGGACCTTCCTCTCCATCCACCCCAGACCTCAGCTGCTCTGCCCCCCCTTGAATCCAGGGGCTCTGTCAGTCTATCAGATGAGACTCACCCCCACCCAGGTCCCCACCCTGACTCGTGTGGCTGCGGCCAAGCCTCACCTCCCTGGGCCCCCAAGTCCTTCACGTCTGAAACGCATGGGTTGTACCCAAGGGCACGAAAGGCATCTCATCAGAGACCCCTACGACCTCAGGACCCTCTGAGGAGTCCTGATTAAGAAAATTGTCTCACCTGACTGAAGAACCCCAGGAGGACAGAGGCCAGCTCATAGCTTGGACCCTCTACTCCTGAAGACACTGCACGGACCAGTGTGCCCCCAGAACCTTCTAGAAAGCGGTCAGGCCAGGATTGGGGAAGAAGCAAACCACCACTCCTCTCGATTCTGAATAGCATCGGTTCATTCGCTCACCCATTCGCCAGCTCCACCCTGGAGCCCCAGGCTCCCCGTACCATTTGGGGCAGCGGACCCCGGAGGCCGCCGCACTTGGCTTTGCTGACTGACCCGAGCTGAGGAGAAGGTCTCCCTTCTGCCACAGAGCTACGGGCCCATGTGGAGGAGGCCTCGTTCTGACCCCCTCTGGCCACAACTGTGGGGAGACCCCCACACGAGGGCTGTGTGAGGAGGGGCAGAAGCCAGGAAGGCTCTGACCCCCACAGCTACGCCCTGACCGCGGCCAGGCGCCTGCCCGGAGCTGCAGCCCGTGTGACCGTTCACTGTGCCCGAGCATCAATCACGCTCACTTCCACAGCCTGAGCCTCCTCCGTCCACAAGATCTTCTCTTCCCAAAGAGACCCAAAGGCCAGCTGCCCTCTGAAACCGGCAGCGACTGGGCCGAAACCTGCCCCCACCGGAGACAAAATTTCCTCTTCGTACGTGCGACCGTCACCCTTCATTCGTGACCATGTGTGCACAAACGATAAGACAGCCTCTCTGGTAACGTAACGTGGTTGAAGAGGAACGATGGACTCCCTGACGGCAGGACCGTATCTAGTCTTTCAATGCCCTGACTCAGATGCCAAGTCGGTTCTCGGTAACGGCTGCGACAGGAGGACAGGCGGTGTCGTTGGTGGTGTGCCAGTCCTGACCGCTCCCAGACACCAGGCGTCTCTCAGGCAGAGACTGGGCATCTTACCCACCTTCCCCGTGGTCTGGGTCCGGGGCTGGGTGAACACCTGCTGCCATTTGCTGCTTCCTGCCCCCCCCCCCAGAGAAATCTGTGTCCACTTCTCTCTGCCCTCAGCCTCGACCAGCACACCTCAGGTCAGCCCCTCTCCTCCCCGAAGGCGCAGGGATTCATTCCCCTGCGGAGCAGCAAGGCCACACCGCCCAGCACCGGCCACCGAGGGGGGAGGTGTCCATGATCTTCCCCCGGGAACGCTGAGGTCCTGCCCAAACGCCTCACGTCCCAGATCCCAATCCGGAAACACAACTACTCCCTCAGAAAGCCCAGTTCTTCCAAGGGTCCCTTCTCTTTCCAGTTCTAGGTGAAAATTAAGGATCTCTTTTCATTCTCTGAAATCTCAAAAAGAAACGTCCCAACACGCAACTCTCCCACCTGGAGACTTACCGGAAGCTTTCGAGGAGAGGGAGGACGATGCCGAATCATGGGAGCAGGACCTCTCCCGCTTCACCGGGCTCCTCTTCTCCGAGGTGGAGCCTGCCCCAAGACACCCGCTCGCTGAAAATGCCTCGTGATCCCCACCTCGCGTGCCCGCCCAGCACTTCACAGTTTGCAAGCTGTGCTCCCACCTAGCACCCACCCACCCACCCAGCCACCCGGCTAGCATCCTCTAGGCACCCACCTCTGACAGAGCCCTGAGGAGGCAGGTGGGGAGGGACACAGGGCAGGCCACCCAGGCGCCCACGGCTCATGGGGCCCCTTCCCGTGAGCCGCAGCCACAAGGGAGCGTAAGAGGTGCGGACAGAGACCTGGACGCTGGGGGGCCAGGCTCCCACCCAGCACAGGGAAGCAGGAGCAGGTGATCTCCTGGAAAGGTGACCCGACCTGAGCTCTGAGGGGCCAGCAGGGGTTTCTAGGTGAAGCCCAGAGGTGGGGGAACTCAAAGCCAGGGGGAGAGCCTCTGTGTGGCCCAGATGTGACAAGAGCAGAGCACAGCCAGGGAACCCAAGAGGTGAGAGTGGCTAACAGCACGGGGAACAGCGGGGCGGGGGGCTGAGAGCAGAGATGAATGAACACTGAGGCTAGAGAGGTAGGCTGTGAAACACCCAGACTGTGGACTCATCCCACGGGCAACAGGCATTTTAACATCGGGGTCACGTTCACGTTTGTGAAAAGAAGCTACGAGTCTGCACGGCAGGCCTTCTAGACTCCGTCTTACAGGTGAGCAGTCTGAGGCCAGGAAACGAGGCACGGCTGTCCCAAGTCACACAGCCAGCAGACGACCGGGAAGAGAAGCCTGGCCTCCCGACCCTGCTACACCGTCTAGCCCACAAACACTTTGCGGTTTTGCATCGACAGCTTTGTCTTTTTCCTTGCTGTTGACGACAGCCACATGCTGTGCTCTGCTCTACCTGCCCCACTACGACTCGGGGCTGCATTTCCAGCTCTTCAAAGGAAACTGGGTCTTTCTCATAAATCTCGATAACGGACACATCCTGTTGATTCACACTACCAGAGGGTAAGGCCACGAACAAGTCAAACAGAGCAGTTCTGAACCTGAGTCCTGAGAAACTCCAACTTTCCTTCCTATTCTCTAAGACTTCCAGAGCTAGGAAGAACCCATGGGGATTCCCATTTTCTCACACCGCCAAAAAAAACAAAAAAAAAAAAGGCGGGGGAGAGAGCAGAATCAGAATTCAACAGTGGACTCGTCATCTTCTCCAAAGACGTATCCAGATGGTTCTCGTCGGAGCTGCTGAGCATCGCCCGGGGCCCGAGGGTCACAGCCATCTGGACGAGTGCAGGCAGCCCCCCCGGGGAAGAACAGGGGGGAGCAGACCCACCACGTCTCACCTTCCGTCACCAGCTCCTCGTCCTCGTTGTCTGTGCTGCTCAGCTTTTCCGCATCGCTCTCCAAGGGCTCGTTCCGGGCCGCCTTCTCCAAAGAAACCTCGTTGCTCACAAAGTAAGCGGCCAGGCCCAGCTCCTGCTCCAGCGCTGTTCTCACCAAGCAGGAGGAGTTTATCAGACGCAGGTCACAGTACCTCAGAGACCTGGAGGGAACAAGAAGGGATCTACTGAGTATCTTCTACAACGGAGGCACTGCTCCCGGTGCTGGGATAAATGGTGATCGGGACTAGCACCCTGCCCCCTCTTCAGGGCCGCAGGACTCGTCTAAACAAAGAAGCAGACGGCATCACGGTGAGCCTTTGGCAACCAAGTCTGTGGAACGTGAAGTCTCCTGGGGCACCTGCTATGTATTCAGCCCTGTCTTGTGTGTCATGAAAAGAGTGCTTTCAGGCCAGAAGAAAAGCAGGCTTGCACCCCAGCTCTGCCACTTCCTGGGGCCAGAACCTTCTGCAAGCTGGGCAACGTCTTGCAGGCTCAGACTTTTTTCATCTGAAAGGGGAGAGTGAACATTAAGAGCCATCGAAGTGCACTGTCTGAGGACGACATGCAGTTCAGTGGGATGTTTAATTATTCAATCGACACTTAAAACGTGCCCAGGACGGAGCTGGATAGCAATCAGATCACTGCCATATTAGAAATACGAGTCTGTCTGGAGGGACAGACACCAGCAAGCGATGAAAGAGGCAGAGGAGGGGACCCAGAGGACAGGCTGACGCAGGGCTCGGGGGGCTTGGTAGAAACAGCAAAAGGCCTGGAGAGAGGCAGGTGTGGGTTCCAATCAGGCCCTATGGCCTCAGGCAAATGACTTTCCATTGGCTCATCTACAAAGCAGGAGAGTGATGCTGTTGTTGCAAGGAGTAAACGCTGCGTTGAAAGTCTGGCGCGGAGCCTGATAAAAAGAAGGTACTCCGTGAATGTCTGCTCAAACCTAAGATCGCTAAAGACGCGGTCTTAGTCCTTAGGGAGCCAAGGGATGGGAAGAAATAATCCACGCGAAAAGCAACAACCAAGGTCAAACGTTCTGGCCCGTGAGGACGCTGCGTGCCGTGGCCCTTGTGGAAGGAACCCAGGCTTTGGAGTTGGGCAGCCTGGAGTCCATGGTCTGCCACCCAGGCTTAATCTCTGGAAGTCCCCATTCCTTCACCGCTCAAAGGACCTCTGAAATATTACCTTCCCCCAGGGTTATAGTGAGAGTAAAATGAAATATGGCAGTGAGAATCTAGTCCAGTGCCAGCACGTAACAGGAGCTCGATAAACGACCACTCTTACTGTTTCGTTTTACCAGGAAAGACGTGCAAAGGCCCCACAGTCTGGCTGCCTGCTCTTCTCCATGGGAATTAAATAAATCTTTAGAAGCCAACCTGTCATCACCAATTCAAGCACCTGCCTTACTGGAGGCCCAGTGACTTTCTGTCCTGAGTGTCTACCTGTCTGTGTGACGGTCTAGAGACCCCAGGAGACGCTGAGGGGGCTTGTGGCTGACTTCTCCATCCGTGGCTGTGGTCTCCAGGGGAACAGCCTTCGAGATAGCATTATGTGTGGAAGAAGGGGTTCTTCCTACGTGGCATCAGCTGCCTGCCACCTCCCAGAACACCTCCCACCCCAGGAGGGCCCGGCTGCCACAGCAGCCTAGACACCAGGAGAAATGTGGCCTTGGCCCCCCAGATGATCCGATACTTTCCTAACTGGAACAGCCATCCCTAACGCACATGGTGATCATCGTGCAGAGAGACAGAGGGAGCCATCAAACCCTAACTCCAGCTGTCGGACCTCCACCCACGGAGCCCAGAGACAGCCACCCCACCCCGCCCTCGGCCCAAATGGCGCCTAAGAACTAGGAAAAGCGGCCCAGACCTCAGAGACATCTCACTGCCGTCGGCTGGAAAACCGTCGTAATGAACACAAATCTCTGATGACTCTGAATGTAAAGATTCCACCTGCCGTCGGACAGGGGAAGCCTGGCCTGCAACCCCCCAAAGCTGTGTGCCTGTGGCCCTTCGAAGACCCCCCGGGGCACAAGCCCCCCTCCCCTCACCTTGGTAAGGATTCCCCGTGAGGGTCCATCCCACTGAAGATCAGGATGCAGGGCAGGCCCTCCAGCTCCAGGTAGGTCTGAGGTCTCCACTCGGCGTCCTCGATCTTCTGCCACAGCTGTGGATAATTAAAAAGCCACGAAGCGGTGAGACTCCTTCCTTCCGGGCGAGTCCCGCTCTGTCCTTTAGAGAAAAGGACGGTTCCTCATACTGCAAACAAGCACGTCGTCTGCACTGCCACTGTATTCCCAGCCCCACGGCCCAGCGCGTATCAGCTGTTCCCGAAATACCTGCTGACTGATCCTCTGGAAGAAAGCGTACATCCTCGATTGCCTCTAACGTTTTTGCTGTGTTTTCTTCGCCGTGCTGCCCTGCGTTGCCTTTCACCCACTTCCTACTCAACTGTGCTCTCCGTAGTCTTTCTAACCCTCCTGCCTTTCCTATCCTCTCTTGGTGGGTTCAGTGAGAAGCTGTGGGCCAGGAGTTTAAAAAAGCAAGATAGAAGGTTATTGGGCGCCTGGGTGGCTCAGTCGGTTGAGCATCCGACTTCGGCTCAGGTGATGATCTCGCAGTTCATGAGTTCGAGCCCGTGTCAGGCTCTGTGCTGACAGCTCGCCTGAAGCCTACTTTGGATTCTATGTC